TGGCTCGGCACTGGGAGGGGCCCGGCGCCCGCAGCCCCCCACGCCCAGAGAGGATGCGTGAGTTTCGCCCCGGCTCGAGGGCAGGATGTGGGAGCAGGACAAAGGCTGGGCGGCGGGGGAGGAGTTGGGGACGGCGAGCCGGTGGCCGCCGCCAGAGCCCCAGCCTCGAGCGAGCTAGCGGAGTCGACAACTTTCTCTGCAACTTTTGCAAAAGGGAAGATAAAAATTCTGCAAGTTGTTGCACAGCTCCATATCGCCCTGTGTCCGGTGAGCAGAGGGGAGGGGGCACCGCAGCCTTCCCCGGACGGGAGGCGACCGCCAGCTCCTCTGAGCGGCGCAGGAGGGGGCGCCCGCCCGGACGCGGGGTCAGGGGCGAGCGAGGATAGGGACACCGGGGGTCAGAGCTGGGGGCGCTCTGGCCGCTGAAGTTGCCCGTGTCCACGCAGGGTGCGCCCTGAGAGCCGGGTAGCCTCGGATAGCGGCGCTGCGTACGCGATGATGGATGAGCCGTGGTGGGAAGGGCGCGTCGCCTCGGACGTCCACTGCACCCTGCGCGAGAAGGTCAGTCCCTCCCTGCCCTTGTCACTCTGGGTACAGTCTTCTTCGGTCTCGACTTCGTGTTCTCAGGTCGCCTGCGTGAGAACTCAGAACTCCTGGGTGCCTTTCTTTCCTCCTACCCTTTACCTTCTCCCGGAGTGTCTGAGCGGAATTGGGGGGCGGGGGTTAGAGACTGGAGATTGGAGAGATTGAAGTTGGTTTTTCTGATAAGGAGCTCAGAACTCTGGGCCAACTAGTCAGAGATAGCCACTGTACCACTAAGTCAGTACTTCCTATAGTATTGCCACCCTAGGTTATTTTAAACCGTATGTGAAGGGGTCTTTAAAAAATATTGTGTATTCATTCTAATGTGTAATTTAAGAATGTGTATATATCTAGCAAGCTCTGCATTTGCGATTTTCCATTTATTGTAATAATAATATAGCAGTTTATTTTAGAGCAAATTTATTTACATAAAAGTAGTGACGCTATATAAAGGTAAGTGGTAGTACAAGGAATATTATGGCCAAACACATGTATCTATGTGTATATCTAGAATGGGACCGAATGAAATTTAAGGAACACCAGTGTAGTTGAAAGAGGCTACAAACCTGGGAGGCTGAGGGAAGAAAACAAAAACTCCCCTGCCAGTTTGCCTCCGGTGGCAGAAGGTGGTTGGGAGCAGCTGAAATGTGATCCCTGCACACCCCTCCCCTCAAGGAGAGAAGGGCTGAGGGGCATTGGGAAGGTGGAAGAGTCCAGGTGGGCTGGAGGCATGGCCTGTGTGTCTTGCCTCCAGCCCCTGGGCTGAGACTGGCAAGGGGTGACTTGGGGAACAGGTGTGAGGTAGTGAATGGATTGGTTTCCTAGGGCTGCCATTACAAAGGACCACACAAACTGGAGAGCTTAAAGCAACAGAAATTTATTTCAGCTCTGGAAGCTGAAGATCCCGGATCAAAGTGTTAGCAGGACCATGACTCTCAAAGGGCTCTAGAGGAGGATCTTCCTTCTTCCTTTTAAATTTGCTGGTGCTTGGTCATCCTTGGCATTCCTCAGCTTGTAGGTACATCATCCCAGTCTCTGCCTCCACTGTCATATGGTTCTATCTGTGTCTGTTTTCTCTTCTTACAAGGATACCCAATCATTGGAGTAGAACCCACCCTAACCCAAAGTGATGTCATGATAATTTAATTACATCTGAAAAGACCAAGTAAGGTCACATTCTGAAGGAAGTTCCAGATTGACATGACATTTGGGGGGACACTATTGCGCCCAATACAGGGAGGAAAAGGTCTTCCTAGTGTGGTACCTGAGTCCCCACACAGGTTTCACAGTCAGTGCATTTGTTCGAGTGTCTGGAGGAGCTCTGCTTAAAGGGTCACCAGCTACTTAGTGTTTTGTCCTCATTGAGTAGCTGTCTTCCAGTCCAATTAATGCTTTTTTCTTTTCTTTCTGTACCTGCTGACCTGTCTCTGTCCTGCATTGCTCGGCAAGGCTGTAGCTTTCCTCTGTTCCCTTGGTCTTCTTCCCAGAACAGAGTGGCCAAGCTGTAGCACATTCTAGGCATCTGGACAAGAAAAAATCCAGGTCTTGTTGGTTCAGTTGAAAAGGAAGGAAAGTGATAGGGGTATGGTCCTGGCCCTTTTCTGGAGGTGGTGGCTGAATGGAGCTAGTGAGGACTGCTGTGGAAATTGAGCTTCTTTGTTTATCATAGACTCAAGTGGTTGTCATATTTGCTCATAGCTTCTGAGGAACGACTTCGACCTGATTTGCCCCTTTCTAGAGGGAAGGATTTCTAAGAGCAATAAATGCCATTTGTTTAGTTACCTGAGAATGCCCAACCTTTTATACATAAGGGAGGATGTCCTAAATGTTCCTTTAGCTGCTCAAAGAAACAAGAAAAACAATTCTCCATGAACTGCTATAGTCATGTCATAGTGCCATATCAGTTTACTATTGGGCTCCCCACCTCGGAGAGAAGATGGGTTTGTCCCAGTTTTGCAGGTTAGAAGTAGAAAACTCACCCAAGGACTGATGGCCAAGGTCAACCTTGACTTAAAGCTGGACTTATTGGGGCAAATCCCAAGTTCCTTTGGTTATAATGTCCCATCTCCTCAAAATACTGCTATTGTTCTCCTTTATTTCCTCTCCCTCTTCAAAGAAGAAAATGCTTCTTCAAAAATTTGGCTTCATGGAGTTTGGCAAGAAGAGTGAAGACTAGGGGAACTTAGTAGCCATACTAGCCTCGCCTTCCTCGAGGAATGAGGGCTGGCCTTTTGTTTTTGCCAGATAGGATAATTGTTTTTCCTCAAAGGTCTACTCTGATAACGTTTCTAACACTGTAGAACAACTTTACAAGTGCCTGACACACAGGAGACGCTCACTCTTTGTTGAATGTTGCCAGATGAATAAAAAGCATGTTTACATATATGCTGTGTAACTGTTACCATACAACCACAAGCAGTTATCCTCACGTGACCCACAGAGGAGGTGAAACTGAGATCACTGAGACAGTGGGAGCCCCACTTTGTCAGATACGAGATTCCAGTCTAGCATCATACTACAGGGTATCAAAAACTTGACACCGTGGAAACAGGTCTTCGTATTGCATGCACACTAGTGATGGAAGCAAAACCCTGATCTGCTCGTTTAACCTCTCTAAATCTGGCCCCATCTTCCATTCTTCCCAGAATAGCCAGAATTTAGATTGTGTCATTCTCTGCTTAAAGACCTCCAATGTCATCCCACTGCACTTACAATTCCCGGTTCTTACCACTGTGTGGAATACCCAGCACAGCCTGGCTCTGGCCTGCTCTCTGACCTTGTCTCCTACCCGCTCCCTACCCTCCATTCCATTGCTCTTGAGCCACACTGACCTCCTTTCTGTTCCTGGAACAAGTCAAACTTGTTCATGTCTCAGGGCCTTTACACTGGCTCTTTCCTCTCTTTGGATTCTGTGTTTCTCAGACTGTCACATGGTTGCTTGTCTCCCTTAATCTATTGCCGCCTCTCCATGTCACTCTATTAAATCATTTACCAGGATCTGAAGTGTTTTTTTTGTTTTTTTGGGTTTTTTTGGGTTTTTTTTTGTTTGTTTTTTTGAGATGGAGTCTCACTCTGTTGCCCAGGCTAGAGTGCAGTGGCGCGATCTTAGCTCACTGCAACCTCCGCCTCCCAGGTTCATGCCATTCTCCTGCCTCAGCCTCCTGAGTAGCTGGGATTACAGGCGCGTGCCACCACGCCCAACTAATTTTTGTACTTTTAGTAGAGACGGGGTTTCACCATGTTGATCAGGCTGGTCTCAAACTCTGACCTCGTGATCTGCCAGCCTTGGCCTCCCAAACTACTGGGATTGCAGGCGTGAGCCACCACGCCTGGCCTGAAGTTATTTTTCATTTGTTTGCTGCCTTTCTTCCCACACTAGAATACATGCTACACAAGAAGAGGTCTGTGTCTGTCTTGTTCCGTGTGGGGACCTCAGTGCCTCGAACACAGCCTCCTAATGTGTATGGAATGACAAGGAGGATGAATAAGTCAGTCTTCGCTTTTGTCTTCTGTAAGCTGGGAGAAATGTTTTACAGCAATGTTAGAATTAAGTGAGTGAACTTAAGAACAGTGTGAGGTGCAGGGTGGGTACTTGGCAGGCATTGTCCTCTCCGCCTAGGGTTGCTGTGAGACACTGATAGCCCGTTCCCATAGTGCTGTTCAGAGTAAGGCTTAGGGTTTGTGACCACCCTCCAAGGGGTCCACACACGTGATAGGTAATCCTTGTGAGAAAGGCACTGTTCGCCAGTTGGACCATTGGTCCTGTGATGGTGTTGAAGCCGGGAAAGGGACCAGTTTGCCAAAAATCATGTATCTGCTGAGGGCTGGGACCCAGGGGTGAGACCCCATCAGTAAGACCCTCTAACCAGCCTGGCATCCTGATGGGTGAATGCGGGGAGTTGAACCCTCTTCCAGTCCAAATTTCTCTGGAGAAATCTCTCCCTCCCCTTTCTGTCAGCCAGCCACCTTTATCCCATGCTCAGCCGTTAAATTCCTCCTTGGATCCTTCTTCCTGTTCCTGTTGCATCTGCAGAAGCCCACCTAGAACCCCGCTCCCTTCACCTCCTCTCCTCTGACCTTTCTGCTGGGGGTGGGAGTGCCAGCCAGTACAGGGATGTGGGGTTTCTTACCTGCTACGTGTGTGCCCCTTGACCCACTTCCCTGAGCCAAAAGGAGGAGCAGATTGTCACCAGGCTGGTGTCACCAGTGAGGAGGCTGCTAGTGATGTTTTTCTGGTAACCAAGTCTATGCCAGGTCTGTCCAGATTAAAACTCGGGGCCACTTGTTTTTTTCTTGAAAGATGCATCTACCTAAGTTTAAAATTAATAGAGTGTTGAATCCAAGAACTAATAGATTTTGGTGAGTGCTGGTTACACATGATGGAATGAGAGCATTAGATGGTACGCAGCTTGAGGGCCACGTTCCTTGTCCCTCAAGCCTCTCCTTTGTCATGTGTCCTGGCCCCACCCTCATCCTTGCTTCTTTCACCATCTTTGTCACCCTGCATAGTGACTTGTCCTACCCACTAGACCGTGAGCTCCTTGCAGGTATGAGGTGTGCCTTGTTACCTTGGCATTCCCAGACCAGTATCTGAGTCAGAGAGGGACCTCAGGGTGTCCCTCGCCTCACCCGACACAGGCACAGGCATTGTGAGTGCACAAAAGAGTGAGACAGCCCCAAATGGACTCTTCTGGGAAGTGCTGAATGAATGCTTGTGTGCAGGGACGCTTCCTGGGAGTCCTTCATCTCGTCTTCCGCATCTGCCAGGGGATGCCCCTGGCCAGTCCCGTAGAGTCTTTGTGTGTCTGGCCACAACATTGGCTGTGGTGTCCAGCACAGGATCTGGTTGCTGGAGGATGCTGCCCCAGCTTCCTGCAGACCTGCATGTTCTCCTGTCAGGTAACGTGGGACAGGAAGTTAGAAAAGCAATTACCCGCAAGGGCGGATTTACTGGCCTGGACCAAAGTACAGCTTAAGGA